TCCTTTTAATGTAGTTCTCATTTCATTCAGGGATAACATTAAATATGAGGGGCCTGATGGGTTATTTTCGTTCTTCGTGATCGGCGCATTTTCGCTATCGTGATCCGTTTTTCTACAGATTTATTACTCTTTTTACTCTTTTTATATTTTGGTGATCCGTGATCATGGAAATTTATTTTCTGTGAATCGTGATTGACAAAAAAATCAACTCGTGAATCGTGATGAGACCCCCCCCCCCCCATCAGGCCCCTCAAATATGTTTCATTTCTAAATTTCTGAATCACGGTTTACTTTGTTGAAACCTCCATTAATTTGTAATCAAACATTTAACCCCAGATGAGTCAAAAATAGAGAGAAAATATGGTTTGTATAAGGAAACAAGTCTCTTCATTCAATTTAAACATAATTTATTTTGTTGCGAAAAATTCTGATTCAGATACGATGAGTCCTTGATCGTGAATATTATAGCACAATGAATCAAAAGACGGAGAAAGGGCAGAACCAATCATCCGGAAAATCTAATTTTATGCGAAAGTCCTTGTTAACACGATCAAAGGACTCAATAGCCCATTTATGATATAATTTTAAACAACCCCTAACATGTTTCGTATAATAAAGAGTGTCATTTGTATTAATCGGGTAATATGTCGATTTATTGACAAACCAAAATTATTAACGAAACGAATTACTGTCAATTATAATGAAAGCTAAACTCTTTTAAATGGATTCTTAACGACCCTAAATTTTTATATACATCTTTTATTCCAAAAACTGCCCTAATATTTAAAAAAATGCGGTAGTATGAAAAATATGTTCCCCTATTATCGAAATTTAATTATACGTATTGCTTGTTTAGCATATTTTTCTCTTGAACATTATGCATATGAAATAACACGAGCGAAAATACATGCATGAACACGCAGTTCAATACTATTCTCAAAGCTTGTAGTGGTCCTTCGTTCATATTCAAGTTTAGACAGCATTTTGGTTGCATCTTCAGTTTTCCCATGCAAATCATGTAATTTTCAATTGAAATCACAAAGAGGCGTTATATAGGACAAAAGTAATAGCTTACGTATGGCGTTATATAAGACAAAAATAATAGTGTACACATTCGAACATGTCATCAGTACCAATTCGACTAAATACGCCATGTAAACGAAATCAATTGTAAATGTTTCTCTTCTGTTTCATCTTTATTAAACATAGTCTTATTGTGATTAAAATTATTGACAGATCTTAACAAATTTGTTCTGAACTTGAGGCGACGCAGACTAGCGCTTTACATACTATTTGTGTATTGAATTTATACGGTTGAATACTTTGCATATGTTTGACCTCTAGACGTTTTTACAGTTTTGTGTCGGTGGATTGATGTCGACAAACATTGATCGAGCATAAATGTATAAGCTTAAACTGTAACACATAGTTCAAGTAATCACATGACATATTTTCAAGAAAGGTTCATCTCGTTAGTACCAAAGTGGCTGCTAGCGAGTGGCTGCTAGCTTGAGTCTAGCAGTACCAAACGTGTTATTAGAGGTGAGCTGGATACGCCTGGTTCCGATCTTTCTTCTGCCAAATTAAAACTACTTATTATAGATATTAATATTTCTAGACGTGGACTATTCATACCCGTGATTACTTCTGGTTTAAGACGAAGTTAAATATATACCTTATTTCGAAAATCTATTTTAATTTTACATCGGCATCGTCCTCCATTTAATTTCGATAACAAACGTTAGGGTTTAGACGCATTAAAATACAACAACAAAAAACGAAAACAAACAACTGGAAAAAGAACTTTGCACCAACTATTGAAAGACCCTGTTCAGAATACTTTAAGCAAGAAAACATTAAATAAAAGAAAATAAGCTGAAAATAAGTTGTTTTGTTATAAATTAGCCCGCTAGTTTTCTCGTTTGAATTATTTCACATTTTTTATATTTAGGGCCTTTTATATCAGACTATACGGTATGGGTTTTTCTAATTGTTGAAGGCCAAAACGGTTGCTTATAATAATTGCTTACATCCACTTCATTTGAACTCTGGTGGATAGTTGTCTCATTGGTAATCATACCACATCTCCTTATTTTTATATGAATTAATAATGACGGACAGGTAAAAAATGTTATATTTTATTGACATGGCTGTCCTGACCCGTGGTTTAAAAAGTTAAATAACAAAAATACCGAACTCCAAGAAAAATTTAAAACGGAAAGTCTTTGATCAAATGGCAAAATTAAAAGCTCAAACACATAAAACGAATGGAAACAACTGTCATATTCCTGACTTGGTACAGGCATTTCCTTATGTAGAAAATGGTGGATTAAACCTGGTTTTATAGCTAGCTAAAAGAATGAATAAGGATAATAATATATGTGATTGCCAATGAAATCAATATTCACAAAACACATAATTGAGCAAAATTAGATAAATCATAGTTTTCAAATGTGGCGGATAGTTGTCTCATTGACAATCATACAACATTTACTTATCTTTATATAGACAAATTCATTAAAGACAAAGAAAGAAAAAAAACTTATATAATAGAAAGCTTTATATTTGTATATATATTTCTTTATAGCATCTTGTTAAAATGTTACATTTGATGACAATGCTGACAGTTAGGATTATTTTAACCTATCTTAAAATTTGTATGGAGAATACCGTAGCTGTATTTGGCAGAACCTTTCGGAATTTTGGGTCCTCAATGCTCTTCAACTTCATATTTTATTTGGTCATTTTAGCCTTTTTCTATTCGAGCGTCACTAATGAGTCTATGTAAGACGAAACGCACGTCTGAAGTACAAAACTTTAAATCCGGTATATGACGAATTTATCTAGATCAGTTTTCCTGTTTCCTGATACCTTAAAAGGGAGCTACCATTTGATTTTTATGGGGGGGGGGGGGGCTAGGATGAAATTTGAAAAAAATAGGCAGGACAGGAGTTTTGAGTAAAAAAAAAGGCAGGATGAGATTATTTGCCAAAAAAAAAGGCAGGATGACAATTTATGTAAAAAAAAGTCAGGATAAACTAAAAAAAAAAAAGGTAGGGCCGAATAGAGTGAAAAATAAAAAGGCAGGACCGAATAGAGAGAAAAAAAAAGGCAGGACAAAATTTTTCATCTTAGCCCCTTCCCCCCCCCCCCCCCCCCCCCCCCCCCCCCATAAAAATCAAATGGTAGCTCCCTTAATACAGTTTCTGACAGTTTTGGACAGTTCTACCCTACAATAACTCTATGACATATTATTCTGACAGACTTGAATAGAGACAATAACTGATCCCGATTGTATTTCTAGCAAAATTATGACAAATGAAATTACATGTTGTCAATAAACCTCGTCTGTAGTGATAACAGTGTCCTTTCCGCAGGACTTTTGTATTTTACCCGAAAAAATTTAGGAACGAGAATCCGCTCTTAATTAACAGGGTGAAATCAGGAGCTCCGGAAGGATAAAATGGTATTTCCTGTCCCACCAGTAACATATGTCACATCTACAATTAAAATAAGTACGTATGTTCACCTTCGTCCTTTTTTATGTTCGTGTTGCTCGATTTAATCTTTCTGTGTAGTGTTTAAGGGTCGATGTTTGATCTTTCGTCGTATTTTCGTTTGGTCTTGGTGTTGTCATGATGGTTTTTACAGCTCCTTAATTAGTATCTTCCACCTTTTTATTCGTATATACAAAAAAATAAGAACACGTGGTATGATGATTGCTAATAAGACAACTATCCATAGACCAAAGCACAAAGATGTAAACAATCAAAGGTCACTCTCTGTCTTCAACAGTGAGCAAAACCCATATCTTATAGTAAAGAAGGCGGTACCGGTATGACAAAATGTGAAACAATTTAAAGAGAATGCCGAAGGTCTAATGTATACTTCAACAATGAAATTGAAACAGATATGACAGACTGCAACATACGACAACCACTGGATTACAGGTTCTTGGCTTCGGACAGCCACTGACAGAATGTGGTGGGGTTCAACATATTTACAAGCGCTACACCCTCCGGTAACCCTAGACAGTGGTTTAACCTTACAACAGGACAATACACTGCCAAAGTCAGATGTTAAGAGCTTTTGACTCTTCAGATCTGTACTTAGCACAAAAAGACAAATCAAAAAGACAAAAGACGTAAAGTATACTGATTAAATAGTACTCTCAATACTGGAAAGCTAGTTTAAAAATTATATACTAATAAAACCTGTTTTAAATGTTTGAAATAAATGTACTCTTGCTTTTTTATTTGAATCTTTTTTTGATAAAAATGTCTGAAATAGTTGATGTGAACAAATATAACCTTATATGTGCCTGTTCTAAGCCAGGAGCCTATAGCTTGCACTTCTGTAAATATAGATAATGCAATTTCTCATAGGAACTCCTTTTACGGCTAAAACTGTGCCACTTTTACTCATGATGAAGTTTCGTAAAAAATTATATCCTAGAATGGAAAGTTCATATGCACTACTATTTTTTTCAAAGGTCAAAATATAGGGCTGTGCGGCATATTTTCAACATTTCTGTACTACCCTTCCCTTCACTTTGGGTCTTCCTCAGAATTTCAATTTAGCAGCTATCCATGTGTATTTATACTGGTAACATTCCCAAGTTATGTCTCTGCGAGATGAAACATAGAGGTCATACCCGGGAACCAGTAGGTAAACAAAACAAAATATCTATGATTATTATTATCTCCCCAAAAGAGGCGTGGTTTGTGAAACAGCTGTATTTACAAAGTGGAACCTGTTGTTTAGTGGTTGTTGTTGGTTCATATCTGTTTTTCGTAAATTGGTTTTTGTTATAAATAATGGCCATTGGTTTTCTCGTTTGCATTATTTCACATTTTCACATCGCGGCCTTTTGGATAGTTGTCTCATTAGCAATCATACCACATCTCCTTATTTTTATTTTAATAACATCTACTCTATCAAGTTTTTGTTTTCCTTTGAACAGATTACAAATTGTACCTTCAGTTATTGTGAATAATTTATTTAACAATTTAAAGAACTTTTACAACAAAAAAGAACAATCTCGTTAAAATGGCACCCATTCTTCGTTTAACTGTCAACAATTATTGTTTTTGCGTTTTGTCTCATTTGTCTCATTTGTTTTCTTTTTCTGTATAATTACTGTGGAAAGTACTGGATTGGTACAGGAAAAACACACTTAACAATAAAATTACTTAACTACAGAAAAGATGTAACAATAGACAATTTCTTTATCAGAGTTCAGTGCAGCTAATTGATTTAAATGCAATTAACAAATTAAACAATATACGATTAATTTGTTTCGGTTTTTGGTCTGAAAGCTGCGTGATCACTGCCACCAATTTCCTTCTTTGGTATGAGTTTCTGGTCAGTACTATTTTCTGTATCGGAACCACTTCCGGATTTTTTACCTTCGGTGTGAGTTTTTGTGTGCTTAGCAAGATGATCACTACGCATGAAACGTTTATTGCAAGTAGGGCAAGCAAAACGTTTTTCACCTGTATGTGTCCGTAGATGGCGCTGTAATTCGTCAGAACGAGTAAACCGTTTGCCACAAAACAACCAATTACAAACAAACGGTCGTTCTCCGGTGTGCCATCTCAAATGAGCTTTAAGATGTGAAGATTTTCCATACACTTTTCCACATCCGGGAATGTGACAGCTGTGAACATTTTTCTTTCGTAAATTTGCGGCGGCTGGGCCAAGCCTTTCCAATTCTTGACAGTTCGGGCAACTACATGTTGCCCTACCAGTATAACGTCTATTTGACCTTGGACTAGCATTTCCATTTATACCAACACGTGACAAATACGGTGTCATAGACGAATCGGACTGCGTCGGCAGTATTGATTTATAAGTGTCTTGTAATAATGATTGTCCTGTTGATAAGTAAGGTGTAGAATTTGAACTAAGCCCATGTCCAAGAGCATATTCGTTGTTTGGGTAATTAGCACCAATCTGTGAGTGAAAACCGGAAGTTGCACCGCTAACATCGGTAAGCCAAGCTGATGGCGTTGTGTGCAAGTCCCACCACGCAGACGCAGGATTGACAGAAGGTGTTACCTCCGATTTAATGCTGTGAGAATTAGGGTATGACCAATGTTCATATGGATTTGTTGTAACTGTTGGCACTCTAGAATATAGTCCACTTAAAGACGATCCAGAAAGCGCTGATTCGTTGTGCATCTTTTGAAGTAATGATGATGAAGTGACGTCAGGTTGTGTGTTTGATGACATCATAGAATGTAAAAACTCACGATCGTAACTTCCAGTACAACTAGATAAGGGACTTGTCTTAGGATATGAATAAGATGCAGTCGTAGATGTGATTGCCGTTGGTCTTTGAGGATTTATTGTGAGTGGACACGTAGGTCCGTTTAATGAAGTTGGTGACCGTTTCCATGGGTGAAAACCTTTTCCTACCGCAGCATCGGCTAGCGGTGGTGGACTTCTATCATTTATCTTGTTGCACTGAGCAGCCAATAGTGCAAGTGGTGTTCCACCAAACGGATGGGGGTCCTAGAAAATAAAGAAACAAATTAATTACGATATACAATTTTATAGAACAGCCTAACATTGAATTAGAATTCTTTTAATCTCATAAACTCATTTTATTCATTGTTTGGTCTTAGCGATATTTGACAACAACCCATATCTAGATGTTGCAATTCCCGGATAAACGCTAAGTTATGTTACTTTTCTTTTAACAACATTTAAAATTCCCGAAAAGTTGAGAATTTTGACTGCTTAAATTTATATAAAAAATGAAACTTCATATTAAGCAAGTGTTTATAGTGCATACGATGTTTGATAACTGAAGCAGCAACAATAAGACATGCCGAATATGAAAGAAACTCTTGGAAAAAGAAATATGCCTATGTCGGCTCATTAGCAACATATCGAAGCTCGATTCAACGAAAATCAAGGATTTTCCCAGCTAAGCGTCTAACTTTTGTCAGGACTGCAGCGAATATTTTTCATGAATAGAAGATATACAAGTAACAGTTCAAAAGGCAAAAAAGACAAATAATTAACACGACACATACTATAGTCACAGCTAGTCCCAGTACAAGATAAAAACATCGTATCTAAGAACAACCTCGACCTTTCCATCAGGATTATATGAATTTCCTTTTAAGAAACAAAGAAAATTTAATGAGAATATAAAAAAACTGCTGCCCTTTATACACACGATGAGAAAATAGTTGGTATATGATATATATATAGTTGATCCAATGTTGTTTTCCCCGTTCAGCCATGTATATCGCATCCATAATGTAGTTACATATGTAGCAATAGAGGCAAATAAGATAATGTAGAGCAGTTATAACGTCATCAGTAGATAGCCTAACGCTAATAATATCAAGGAATTAGCTTTTCACCAGAAGATAGTTGTATTGTCTTTACATGTAATGTACAATTTATTTTTCAGAGGAACGTATGGAATAGTCGTGTATAATAACAATCTCACGCCACAATATGTTGTCTCTAAAACTTGTTCGCTAATTTGAAGTCGTGAACGAGTTATATTGTTACAGCATGTGATCAAATTTATACAGTTGTCACGTGATTTTACTCCCAAATTAAGGTAGTTTAGAGCAATTAATACAAAACTGTTGAATTGGAAAAATACACTGTAAATAAAAATTCATCAATTCTTATTGAATTTTGTGTATTTTTTCAATGGTTTGCAATAGGTTATATTCTATATTTAGATTCTTTTTAATAATAAAGGCTGGAGTACAATAACATTAAATTGTAAATTTTGTATTTTTTATTGATTAATGTCAAATATAAACTGCGGGAAACCGTAAACCTAGCTTTGTCGATTTTCACTATTCGATTTTTCTTTCTTTGTATGTTCTATCTATTGCACTTTACACTTTAGAAATCTTGCACACAAAGGTATCTAGTAATGAAGATTATAAGTTAGAAATTTCCTTTACTAATAAGAATTGTGGCTCTTTGTACCAAAAAATCTTACTATTAAATTGATCATCAATTACCTCACTCCGATACCAGTGATTTTTGTCGTAATATTTTTTTATGAAAAGGACCGTTGTTTCTTTAAAACTATAACGATCTGTCATGTTGGATATTCTATTCGTGTTTTCACACGGGTCATACAGTTATTAGTGATTTGGCGTTTTTCATAATGTATGAAAAAAAATGTGTACAAAAACCGTTTTAAATCTTCAACGGTAAAACGTATTCTTTTGTCACTAAAGAATAAAAGTATGATCTAAAAGCGTTCAACTTCTTGTTATTGGTACATTTATTTGTACGAGTTTTGGCTATAGCCCTTTCTGGAAACACGCTTCCAAAAGCCAATAGAATACGAGTTAATTCTCTTGTTGGAAGTATACTGTTACAAATACTAATTCGCTGCAGTGTAGAGCAATGGTTATAAGCAAATTAAAAACCATTTGTAACTTTAATTTTCAACATTTCCCTTTAATAATCGAATTGAGTACAAGATTGTTAAGAGCAAAAAGACCTTTAACAAAATGTATATAAAACCAAGTATTGTCTTTAAATAAACTATAGGATTAAAAGCCGCTAATAGTTGACTCTTCATTGGTCTTCATTGCCAAGAATCAGTTGTACTGCCCAACAAGGGAAATAATATGCTTCAAAATATAATTTTACAGTAAAATCTTGATTCTGGAAATGAATTTTTGAGAATTGTTTGAGATTAATCAGCTCGTGTTTAAGCTATAGATACGTGTGTTATAATGACGTATTTTCTGAAACGGTTTAAAAAGTATTACTGCTAAATTTTAGTAAACGATTTTTAGTATTTAATTATTCATATGTGGTTAGCATACTAATAACTCAAATTTACTAACAGATTTAACAATATTACATCACTGCATTTACTTCAGATTTGCAAGACAGAATTTAGAAACAAATAAAGGCAGGAAAAAATGCTCGGTCTTAGAACAGAAGATAAGGTTGGTACTGAGAAAATCTAGGGTTGATGGCATCCACTCCAAGGGCTTGATGAATGGCCGTAAAAATGAAACTTATCGTGATTATACATAAATGTTCATGACCTGCAGGTTTTTTATTCTGAAATATTATTTGTGAAATGAGTCGGTGGATCCTTATAAATCTTATAAATTGATTTCAAATAATGCAGTTGAACATCACATGTATTCTAAGTTGTGTTTCGAAACATGTTCGTTGAACAGGGGTACGATTACGAACTTCATGGCCTGTTTTAAAATAGATATCCATTTGTGTATATTTATTTCCTTATGCACCCCAATCTCCTTGGAAATATTTCCTTATGCACCCAAATTTCCTTGAAAATATTTCCTTATGCACCCGTCTCCTCTTGAAAATATTTCCTTATGCACCCCAATCTCTTTGAAAATATTTCCTTATGCACCCCAATATCTTTGAAAATATTTTAACGGCATAACAGCATAGCAATAGAAAAACTAAACATAAAATTGAGAATGGAAATGGGGAATGTGTCAAAGAGAAAACAACCCGACCATAGAACAGACAATGTATATATATATTATATGTTTTTATAGTTTATGAAGGTGGCCAGTAGTAAATGCTGTTTTGAAAGTAAAACTAAAATCTGGTTGAAAGGTAAACGCAGCTTTGAAGTTAAAAAAAACAAATATGAGCAGAAAAAATTGTGCATTTTTCGAAAGGAATTTTCAACGAAACTTACCAAGTTGAAAAATACTTATTTTGGTTTGGTTAAAATTGAAATAAATCTTGTTTAAACAAACCAAACAAAGAACGATGCAATGTTTGATGGACTCAGTTATCATATCGGCAAACTATAAGAAGGACAGGAAATAAAAACAAGATAAACAGAACAATGGGTTCTTATTGCAATTCTAAAATCAATGTTGTAGGGAGTCCATAACGTACGTTTACTGGAATATAAATCATAGGGTTAAATGGACTATGCGGTATGGGTTTTACTCATTGTTGAAGGCTGTACGGTGACCTATAGCTGTAAATGTCTGTGTCATTTGTTCTCTTGTGGAGAGTTGTCTCGTTGGCAATCATACCACATCTTCTTATTTTTATATTGTAATATTTGAATGCATAATTTCAATGATCATTGGTATAATTGTGCAAAGTATACAGACTTTTAGTGCTATACTTTACTGAATTTGACATATATGTCAATAAAGAGCGGTTTTAAGATTTAAAATAAGCATTAAATATTTATATATTAGTTAATTGAGTAAAAAATGTTTACTATCAATGTTTAATTTGGTGATGCTAAAATGGACATTGGTAATTTTAGTTTTCGCTAAAACAGGTGAAAATCTGAACTTTTCGCTAAAATGTCCTATCGATTCGTCAAGTCATGAAGTACAACTAGTGTCCTGTAAAAATTGCGTAATTGATCCATTCGACTTGAATGATATTTAACAAACTGTATTTGATAATTAATATATGTGACTGAAAAAAATATAGTTGTTTACATCGCGTCTTTAGTTGATAGCTGTCTCATTGGCATCATACCCCATCTGCTTATCTTTATATTCTTTTATAAATACTATTTGATGAATAAAATCTATGTAATGGTGCATTTCCTCTTAAATAAAAACAAGGAATAAAAAAACTTTTTCAACTAGATTAAGATGTATTAATGGCATTATTTTTGAAAAGTCTATTGATGGATTTTCAGACAGTTCTATCAAATAGATCTTAAATGGATTCAAGTAATTTAGATTTAAATTCTGGTAGGGAGAATACTATATTTTCCCATGAGTGTTGTTGGTTTGTAGTTACTCTGGTGTATAACCAAAATCTCTTTTTATTCATATTTTGATTTGCTTCCCTAAATCTAATCAAATGTGATAGAAGCTTTGAATATTGACGCTGACTCAGAATTTACCCGAATGTATATATGCTATACCCGAAATTCCGATCACCATTTAATTTTTTACACGATTGATATATGAAATTCCCATTTCTAAGATGTAGTTTGCGTGCTATCATTCGAACAGTAAATATATATTAATAATATTTGAAACAAACTCAAAGATATAACACCTAACTTTCTAACGGGAATTTTGTAATTTGTATACTTGTATCTTGTCAATAATCTTCAATATCTATAACCATCTTTTTATCTATAACGTAGGTTCGTATATACTTGTATCATGTCTGAAGTAAACAATTGTATCTCTCCTTTGGGGGTGTATGCATCTTTTAACAACATCCCGGTCCTCTATATTTTGCTAATTTGAAATGTTCAAACTACAATATGAATATTATATCGAGGTTTTTACGGAATTTTCGGACATTTTTTTAAACAAATAAAATAAAATTGTAGGATGTTGAGATTTTCCCGGATTATGAAAGAAAAATAATTGTTAAACTAAAAGAATAAGAAACGACAATAACTTAGTTTCCTTCCGTGAACAAATTATATCGTTTTCCTACAGTTATATTATATATTTGTCAATGTTACAAAACAGTGTTATATAAATAAGTTATTCGTTTTAACATTAAAAAGCCAAGGACCATTTTTGTATTTTCTTATTTCTTAATACGTAGTAACTGTTTCAATGGTGAATAAACATAAATTATTCAAGCTAAGTTGTAAAGTGTGAAATCTTAATAAAGTTGATCACTACTCTATATCAAAGTTGAATTAAAAATAAAATGAAAACTATTAAAGACTGACTAAATTTTTAACAATGGCAACTGTTCAGATGTTATATTATTTTATCTGTCTGTATCGCTTTGTTCTGAAAAATGTTGAAGTATGAATTGAAAGTAAATCTGAAGCTTATGAACGGAGCAGTATCCTTTGAAAACTCTTTAATTAATTAATCACAATATTATCATAATTCAAGTAGAAACAAATAATAACAATGTCTGTTGACATTTGTTGAAAAAATCGTAAGTGTACTTGAAGCATAGATTTGTGATAAATTAATGGATCATGATTAGTAAAAAAATAATTACGCGACAATGATTTTCTGTCCTTATTTGTTTTAATGCACTTAGTCTTAGCCGAAGTTTCGTACATACCTGAACATACATAGACGATTATTAATTCGATATTATCCTTTAATCTGCAAACACTTCAAATATTAACACGTTTCAAGTTAACTCGAACTTTAACCGTTCATTTTGTCCTTATGCTGAAAGCTTCCTGTCAGTTTAGACTCCGCCTCCTGAACACCCCTAATCACGCCCACCTCTGATTGAATCGGCCGATAAATCAGAGAATTACAAAACGGTTATTATTAATATCTTGTTAATCTTATAATTGTTAATTATATTTCAAGAGATGGGCTTACGTTTGCGCTTTTGTTTGGATCATTGGGGAAAAAAAGATATTCTGCGGGTGGTTATGAATGTAATTGCATACAGAACTGTCAGATTCATCTGGCTTTGTAAATTATATTAAACATTAATGCTGAATCTTAATATTATTCAGTAAGTAAGATAATAAGTAAGTTTATTGTAATTCATTTTTTTTAGTGAAGTAAGCAATGTTCACAGAAAAGTGTTGCTGTCACCGAACATTAAAAGTTCTTGATTACTACAAAATTTACAGTTTTCTTAATTTTTTTTACTATATTCTAAAACATTTCAAATAAATACAACCTGAGACTACTATAACTTATAGTAGTCTCGGATACAACACAACAAAGCACCTATATTTTCCAAATATCGAAACGTTCTCTGTTTCATTTACTTATATATTTGACTTTTTGATAACTTATTTCAGGACCATATTTATAACTGAATAATTCTGTTGAAATTTAACATTTTCCCATACTTCGGTGGATTTTAAAAAAGGAGAAAAAGTGCAATTCAGATATTTGTTTTATTATTTTTCGATTTCGCGTTTTCCCATGACCTTTTGAGATCCATACAAGAAATGTATACAATATGTAATTTGTTTAACGCATTTTATTGCTATACTTAAAGCCAACGAGGAAGATATACCCTCTAAATAATTCCGTCAATTTTCTTCATTAAACCATTTTCATAGCATAAAATAGTTGAACCGAAACGCCCTAAAATTTACATCAATTTTAAGATTATGCTAATCGGGTGGATAATTCCGGAATCATTCAACTAGACTCGTTTAAGCAAATAAGCTATAATTTCCTCAAAATCAACTGATATTTTTCCTTTTTGATCGTTGGTCCTTCGGTTAAAGGGTCGTGATTTCGAAGCCAAAATTCACTGATTCCTAAGAAATGAGGCCGATTGCCTGTTTCTCACTTGTCTATTTGGAAATGGCTTAATAATTTACGATAAGTTTTTAGTTCAAAATTAATGGCTTGAAACAATTTAAAAGGAAATGTTATCGGTAATTGATTATTTTTAAATTTGAACAATATACTTTTTATCGGAAAAGTCTTGTTTGAATTTAATTCGTATATCTATCACTCCCATAAATCACTTAGTGTATGCATCAGTGAGAATTAACGTGACTTATAGCTTTATAAAAGTTGTAGTTTTTATTTACCTTTTTATTATTTTAAATATGTTTAAATATGCATGTTATTTGATGTATGGTCAAAGCCAATAAGACATCAACCCGCTAATATGATTAAATGAAAATGTAAAATCTCGCCAAATCTATTTATTTATTTATTTATCTATGTATTTATTTATTTATTTATTTATTTATCTATTTATTTATTTGTTTCTTTAGTTTGTTTGTTTATTTATTTATTTAGTTATTCATTCATCTCAGTTAGACTTTTTTCAATATTAACTTTAATCTTCAGTAATCAATTTAAACGATTTATACAATAAATATTTGATAGATATTAAATATTCTTAATAGCAAGCGGCGATAGCATGTGTCATTAGATTTGTATTTAAATTCTTAATCATATATTGTTGTCCATCCCTAGAATCAACCTACATTTTATATTTCTTAAATAATGCAAAATATTTTAAAATTTAGTGTTTTAATGAGGTCTCTTATTTTTGGTTGAAATACCATTTACAGGTACAATTATATCAAGTTGTTCAAAGACAAAATATTTTATTTCCTCAGACACAAACGTGTACAAGAGGTCAAAACATGATAAAGTATACACATAAATCGACAGCAGAGTAATGTATAATAGCACGTGATTTTCATGACATTGAGATATATATATATATATTACCTATTAAGTTTAAAGGATTACATTTGTACAGATATCTTCCTATTTATTCAGTGATTGTGAGTACCTAAATATATATATAATGTATAAAAATTGTATCTACAACAAATAAGTAATCTTTCTAAGAAAAGTACATACTTTCCTATACACCTTTATGTTGCACAATGAAAGTAAACCGATTAATTTCTGCCTTGAAGGATATTGTAAGTAATAATTAGGTACGAGATTTTGTCTAAGAAGTGACACACTAGGATGTGAACAAACACTCATATAATGATATTCGTCGCCAATATTTTGATTACATAGATGACATATCCTATTTTCTTTTAAAATATTTTTCCATCTTCCCGTTTCAATTGGGAATTTAAGATTTGAGCATCTAAATTTAGCCATATACAATCTATCAGTATTTCCCAATCGTAGTAGATAGGGTTCTAATTCAAATATATTTTTGAATTTACCATAGAATTCTCCTCTTGAAGAATTATTAATTACAGAAAACCATTGTTGTATAAACTGATCCACAAGTTTTTGTTTGACAAGAGATTTCAACATTTCTCTATTCATAGGTATCTGATCATTCCATATAAAAGTAAGACCACTTTCATCAAGAATGGATTTGATGTACGCAACCCATTTAAAATGTTTGGGTTTACTCTGGTGAAGTTGTAACATAAGTCTATATAAAATATTAGATAATTTATTCTCATTTGAGAGCATATCATTCCAAAACATAACCATGCGTAGTTTAATAGTAATATCAATGGGATAACGACCAAGTTCCCCGTAAACCATAAAATTTGGAGTACTTTTTCTCACGTGCAGAATATTTTTACAAAACTGCAAGTGCATCCGTTCCAGTCCCTGTTTATTTTCAAATCCCCATACTTCACTAGAGTAAATCATTATAGGTAGAATAAGACAATCAAATAACTTTAGCTGTATATCTACGGGAATTGCAATATTTCTTATCTTTCTATATAGTGCATACAATGCTTTATTGGACTGTTCCAATAATTTTTTTCTAGCTGAACAAAAAGAGCCATTATAATTAAATACAATACCCAGATAAGTATATGAGTCTAAGACATCAATATTTTTACCATAAATTTTAAATTCTAGTTTAACCTTGTATTTCTTTTTACTGAAAATTACAATTTTAGTTTTACTTGTATTAACTGTGAGTTTCCATTCATTACAATATTGCTCAAAAACTGCCAATGCATGTTGCAGATCCTCCTCTGACTCAGATAAAATAACTGTGTCATCTGCATATAATATTATAAAGACTTTTACATAACATAATAAGATTTCTTGGCATTTATCTGATATATTTTCAAGGTCTTTTACATCATTATCTAGTAAAAATTTCTCCAGATCATTCAAAAAGAGGGAAAAAAGAAAGGGGGATAAATTCTCCCCTTGTTTCACTCCTATATCACAACTAAAAAATGCAGAAATATCCTTTCCCATTCTAATACATGTCTGGATATTCTGATACATGTTGTGTATAACTCTCAATATTTTGCCTTGAATATTATACTGTAGCATCTTTTGCCACAAACCAGCTCTCCAAACTGTATCAAATGCACTTTTGAAATCAATGAACGAGCAAAATAATTTTTTACCAAATGAAAAATAGATAGAGATAAGTGAATGTAAAATAAAAATATTATCCATAGTAGAAAACCCTTTTCTGAACCCAGCCTGTGCTCCTGTAATTAAGCCTATTTCATCTGACAATTTATTTAATCTGTTATTGAGCACAGCAGTGAATGTTTTACTTAGACATGAATTGAGAGTTATACCTCTGTAAGAATTCGGGTCAGATTTAGAACCCTTATTCTTGAAAATTGGAACCATTATTCCTTTGGTCCAGCATTCTGGTATAATACCCGTATCTAACACAATGTTAAATAACATTACATACACATTCATCATATCATCTAATGTACATTTAATATATTCATTCAATATGTTATCATATCCAGCAGATTTATTATTCTTTAAATTTTTTACAGCACATTTTATTTCATCTGCTGTTATTGGAGAATTTAATAATTCTTCTATATCTGGTGGTAAACTATTAACATCAATATCTATATCAATTTCATCATGTATATTATTTTCATTCATGGATTTAAAATAATCATATAATGTTTCTACAGATATATCACATTTCTCATCTTTTTTTGTAACAAATTTATTTAAAATTTTCCAAAACTCTTTCCCTTGTTTTTTTGATGTATTTCTCAATTTTTGTTCGAAGTCAAATTGATAGTTTTTGTATGCTTGGTTTGTAACCATCTTGTATGATTTACTTGTCTCGAGTAGTTGTTTGCGTGTTGCTTCATTTTTAAAAACGTTATAACGTTTTCTGGCTTTATGAAATTTTTTTCTCGACGAAAGACATTTATTAGTGTACCAGGGTTTTGAGTTCGGTTTCTTTCGTGATTTGTAGTGCGGTTTTGAAAGTGTTGTCTTTGCAGTATTGTGAAAAAGCTCATTTATTTCTCCGGTGACGTTGTCGATGTCTTGTTGGGTACATGTATCACGTGTGTATATGTTTTCAAGGTCATTCATAATATTGGTCAGCTGATCTTGACTATTGTGAAAAGTATTTACAAACTCGTTTCTTTTATTGTCGTTCCACTTGATTGAAGTAGAGTTTTGTGACGTATCATGTGTAATTTCATTATGTGTCAATATTGATTTAAAAACAATGTGTATTGCATTGTGAACATCAGAAAAAAGTGGTACAAAATCAAGTATTTCAAATTCATCTACTAAAGAGAACAGTTTTGCTGATAAAAGCAAATAATCAATAACACTAACATTTTTACATGTAGTACGTCCAATACCTATATCAGAACCAAGTCTGGAGTTAGCTATATAAATATTGAGTTTTTTACACATATCTAACAATTTATGACCATAATTATTAATATTACAAAGA